ACGCCTCAAGCAATTTCAACCAAACTTGGTACACAGATTACTTACTCTCTGGAAACAAATACTGGGGAAGGGGGGGGTAAGATACCCCTAACACCTCTCAGGGTGTCTGTTCTGTTAAGATACAGCCTGTTGTACCTTAAAACGGCTTCTACTGTACAGCGCTGTGGAGTTGCCATGGTAATGGCTTCATAGTACTCCACAGGGGCTCCCTCTGGTAAGGGGGAAAATCCAACATAAGAAATTATGTTTGGCCCAGACATAATCAACAAGGGCATGTATTGCGGACAAGAAGCCACTTCTAAATCAAGATCAGAAAAAAGCATACCAAATGATCATGGATCAGCTAGTGAAACAACGAGGTGGTATCATTTTTCTTGACCCTTCTGGGTGCACAGGGAAAACATTTTTAACTAATGTAATTGTCACTGAAATCAGGGCTCAGGGAGAAATTGCTCTTGGCATCACCTCTTCAGGAATTGCGGCGACATTAATGGAAGGAGGTTTGGGATAAATAAATACCTGGACAGCACTGGGTTATCAACTAGTATTAATTAAAAATGGTAGGACTTGTAAATTCAAAAACATCAGGCTGGGGAAAGCCAACACTAATATGATACATTGTGCCAGAGATCAAATTATTACAATTATATGAAATGAAGGAGGATTGCTTCATCTCTCCTTCAAAGAGGTAAAGGAGGGTGAGTAGTTAACAATTAGCCTCCTCTGAACGTGGAATGCTTTTAAAATGGAACACAAAGTCCATATGATAAAGGGAGCAGTTTAGGGCTGAGCAATCGGGTTGGTTCAAACGTTTATGAATTTCTTTGGCGTTTCATATACATGAATGGTGGAACACTTACACATCACCAAATAGAGGAAAGCATTACGAAAAGGACAAAAGGCTCCAAGCTGGAGAGCAGGAGATTGTGAATTCTTTGTCTTTAGACATAAAATCTGCTGGCTGGGGAGAGTCTTTCTCAGCCCAACGCACCTTACAGGGTTATGGGGAAAATAGGAGAAGAGGGTGTTGAATATGCCCTGAGCTATGTGTAAAAATAATAATGGCAGGATGCAATTAAATAAATAAAATATTAGGCGGAATTAGTTTAGTTTAGTTTAGTTTTAATAGATTTGTATGCCGCCCACTCCCTTGGGACTCAATTTGCATGATCACTAGAGATAGATAAAAATACAGCCATAGCTACAATTTAAACAAATATATTTTAGCCAGAAAGCTCAGTCGGCTGACTGTCAGAAAAGGTATCTTTTCTTATCAAATTGGTCTTGAATTGCCCAGCCTCTTGACACAGGGAGCTGTCAGCTGTAAAACACACACACACACACACACACACACACACACACACACACACATACAACTTACCTCATTATTTACAAAACACAAATAGATTTTAGCACTATATATCTAACAGAATTCTTAATGTATTACAAAGTTAATATGTTCAGAAATGTCTAATTATCATACCTGTATGTTGGTAATAATTTTGGCATCTTCCGGTATCGTTGGATTAATAGCAATAACAATGTTTTCAAAGCCATTATTGTTGAGGTTGATCATGGTACCCATTACTCCATGTAGTAGCATCATTATCACCAAAATGTCCTGACTGAGTGCCATCTTTGCTGGCACTTCTTTCCTCACCTTGGTTGACGGAAAGGATGGCACAGAAGTATTACACAAACATGTATTTATACATGCAGTCAACTTCTGAATATTTTATTGCGGGACTTTGTTCTG